GCTTTAACCCGCCCTCACAGCGCCGCTCCTCCCTACCACCAGCCTCCCACACACAGAGCACGGTGATACTGGCCGACCGGCAATGTTGCGCCTGACTGTGCTCCCCCATGCTACCTCTCTAGGGGCTGACAACAGGCATCTTCTAGTCACCATGGCAACCTAGCACCTGGGATTTGTCAAGCCCTGATATAACTCACAAGTACACTAATGCGTTTCAGCTGTAACTGCCTTCCTCAGAGCACTATGCTATGAGGAAGGCTATCACAGACGAAACGCGTTGGGGTACTTGTGATTTGACTTCTATGTAGCCAATAAAGAGTTTGTCATTTGACAGATTTACCTGGTGCCGGCTTATCTCTATTATGGAACTTCCAATGCTTACGGTACCTCAAATGCAGTTTGTCTGCACTGGATTGCATGGTACAGAACGGGTACAATTCCTGGAGTGACACGGCCCTTCATGTTATTATTATAGGTACTTATAAAGCGCCTTTAATTTACGCAGCACTTTACATATATATTGTACATTCACATCAGTCCCTAACCCTCAAGGAGCGTACAATCTAAGGTCCCTAACTTACATTCATACATACACATACTAGGGACAATTTAGACAGGAGCCAATTAACCTACCAGCATGTCTTTGGAGTGTGGGAGGAAACCGGAGTGCCCGGAGGAAACCCACGCAGGCACAGGGAGAACATACAAACTTCACGCCAGGGGCGGACTGACCATTTGGAAACTCGGGGACTGCCCGAGGGCCCAGGGTCAGTAGGGGGCCCCATGAGATGCCCCGGGTACTTTTTTCATAGGCTTTTTTGAGTTTGGGCAAGGACACAGGGGCCCCATGCTCCCCTATTGCCCCGGGGGCCCCATGAGTTGTCAGTCCACCCCTGCTCCAGGCAGGTGGTGCTGTGGTTGGGATATTTTATAGATTTTCGGTGTTCATTGTACAATTCTTGATAATGAGGGTTCAGTTGACCCCATATGGTGCACGCGGCTCCCTTCAGTCCCATGCACTCGCCCTTCAGTCCACACACATGAAAGTGAATAGGACGTATTGTATTCAGCAGCCATTAAACGTGGACAATGGCTCGCCTCTGGATTTCTTACGTATTCTCCAATAACAAGGGCCCGGCTAAATTATTTATGTTTTTGACATTAATTATTGAGTTCATCTCAAATTGCAGCAATTGGGAAAAAGTGGGGAAAATAGGGAAAGGCCACTGCAGGCCAGATGTATAGGATGCATCATTAAAGGACCGCATTGGGTAGATGGGGTGGGGGGGCAGGGGTCATTCACTAACAATGCAGGGGGCGTAAATTTGTTCAACACCACATAGATCAATAACCAATTAGCTTTTATCGCCGTAATGTCAGGGAAGCTGCAGTCAAATCGCTGCATTTGCAGCTGCTTTATTATTTAATTGAAGTGCTGCTTTCTATTGCTTTATGTTACAGTTACATTGTTACAACATAATCACACTTCACAAGGGGGAAGCCCATAGCTCACTCCATGGAGACATGCCAGCCATCAATGTCATTGTCACAAATCCAGGATCTGCTCCTGGAGCTCACAATGAAAAACAAATGAGGCCAAAAGTGACAACGATTTTTTTTTAAAGCCCAAATGGAATAGTTCAATGAGCTAAATATATTCCAGGTGCTTAAAAAAAATGCTGGTGGGCAGGGGCAGACTGACAACTCATGGGGTCCCCGGGCAATAGGGGATCATGGGGCCCCTGTGTCCTTGTCCAAACTCAAAAAAGCCTATGAAAAAGGTACCAGGGGCATCTCATGAGGCGCCCTACTGACCCCGGGCCCTCGGGCAGTGCCAAATGGTCAGTCCGCCCCTGATTGTGGGGTGTACAGTGTTAGGTCACATTTTCATTTCTTCTAAGAAGGTAAACTAACCCTGGTCCATGTGAGAGTCAGGATGTTGCTTTAAATGTATTAGTTGCTGAAATCAGTTAAAACGCTACTTAAAGCAGGCCATACCCTAGCAGAATTCCTATGGACATTCATACAAACAACATTGAGAGGAATAGTGCCCCATCATTGGTGTCATTGGGAGGAATTGTCCCCCATCATTGGTGTCATTGGGCCCCATTGCTGGTGTCATTAGAAGAAACTGTATCCCATCATTGGTGTCATTGGGAGGAATTGTGCCCCATCATTGGTGTCATTGGGAGGAATTGTGCCCCATCATTGGTGTCATTGGACCCCATTGCTGGTGTCATTAGGAGGAACTGTATCCCATCATTGGTGTCATTGGGCCCCATTGCTGGTGTCATTAGGAGGAACTGTATCCCATCATTGGTGTCATTGGGCCCCATTGTTGGTGTAATTGAGAGAAACTTTGCCCTATCATTGCTTTAATTGGCAGGAATTGTTGCCCATCATTGTTGTCATTATGCCCCATTGTTGGTGTCACTGGGAGGAATAGTGCCCTACCATTGGTGTAATTGGAATTGTGCCCCATCATTGGTGTCACAATTCCTCCCAATTAAAGCAAGGATGGGGCACAGTTTCTCTCAATTACACCACTCTCTCAATACTCTCAATTACACCGTTGGTGTAATTGGGAGGAATTGTGCCACATCATTGGTGTCATTGGGGGAACTGTGCCCCATCATTGCTTTAATTGAGAGGAATTGTTCCCCATCATTGGTTTCATTTTGCCCCATTGTTGGTGTCACTGGGAGGAATAGTGCCCTACCATTGGTGTAATTGGGAAGAATTGTGCCCCTTCATTGGTGTCATTGGGAGGAATTGTGCCCCATTACTGGTGTCATTGGACCCCATTGTTGGTGTTATTAGGAGGAACTGTATCCCATCATTGGTGTCATTGGGCCCCATTGTTGGTGTAATTGAGAGAAACTTTGCCCCATCATTGCTTTAATTGGGAGGAATTGTTCCCCATCATTGGTGTTATTATGCCCCATTGTTGATGTCACTGGGAGGAATAGTGCCCTACCATTGATGTAATTGGGAGGAATTGTGCCCCATCATTGGTGTCATTAGGTGGAATTGTGCCCCATCACTGGTGTCATTGGGAGGAATTGTGCCCCATCACTGGTGTCATTGGGCCCCATTGTTGGTGTCATTAGGAGGAACTATGCCCCATCACTGGTGTCATCGGAAGGAATTGTGCACCTTCATTGGATGAAATAGTGCTTCAAAGACCAGATAAAAGCAAACAAAGGGTCGTATCTGGCCCCCAGGCCACAGTTTGGAAACCACTGCACTAGATCAAGCAAAAATGAAAATTTGTGATCGAAATTCTAGTAGTGTATGGCCAGCTGTAAACCGTTACCCACTTTCATGATAATGAAGAAGCTATTAACATGCTTTCCAAAACCTAACACCCTTGAAAAGGCTTAGCCTTTGCTCCCACCCTGCAACCCCCCAGGCCACCCCCAACCCCCCACATATCTCTTTCAACATCACATGGAACAGCAGAAAACTGAAAGGTCATATTCCATCATGGAAGCTCAACCATTTATTTTGCATTGTACACCTCAATGGATGGAAAAAGTGAATTGTTGAGAGGCACAGTGACACCAAAAGAGGGCTTCGTTTTATTTCCAATGGGGTCATTTTATGGAACCATTTTAAATATAGTGCTTAGAGGAATTCTCTTTCAACCCTTTGACCTCGGAGGTCCCAAGACATAAGGTCCAGACTTGTAGGTTGAAAATATAATGGGGAGAGCCAGCGGCTGTCCTCTAATTGTACAAAGAGCACCTGTTCCCGGGACCCTCAGCTGTGTTCCAGGTTAATTGCAGGAAGGAATGTGACCTCCAACTGAAAGAGGTGCTGGACATACTTTGGATTCCTTGCAGGGAAGTCGACACTCTGAGTTTGTTTTAGGAGAGCTGCCTGCGATGACTTATAACTCCCCTGTCCTCGGAGCTACAGAACTGGACTTCTACAAATGGCTCTCAGCCCTCCTTTGTTCACCACTCTGCGCTCACTAAATCATTCACATAGAAGAGGAATGGCAGGAAAAAGAACAAGTGGTACATCAACTCTACAAACTCTACCCCATTTTTTTTTCCTCCATATATATATATATATATATATATATATATATATATATTTTTATTTAAAAAAAAATTAATTTAATTACATTTTTTTATTTTTTATTATTATTTTATTTTTTAATTATTAATTCAAATATTAATTTATTTATTTTTAAATACTTTTTTTTTTTTTGTAAAACTATATTGTCTGCATAAAGATCTATGTTTGTCCCAAGCATCCAAATATAAAGAAGAGAAGGTCCTGAATGCTACACACTAACCAGGCCCAACAGTAGCTATTATTATTATACAGGATTTATATCGCGCCAACAGTTTGCTCAGCGCTTTACAATATAACGGGAGACAATACAGATCAATACAGTTCAGTACAAGAGGGTTAGGAGGGCCCTGCTCCTTGGAGCTTACAATCTAGGAGGGAGGGGCTAGTGGTACAAAAGGTAGTAAGTGTGGGGGATGGACTGATAGGAGGAATAGAAGATTCCATTATTAGCTGAAGGCAGGATAGGCTTCCCTGAAGAGATAGGCTTTCAGAGATCGCCTAAAAGTGAGCAGAGTAGGCGATAGTCTGATAAATTGGAGGTAGAGAGCTCCAGAGGATGGGGTAAGCTCTAGATAAGTCCTGGAGACGAGCATGGGAGGAGGAGACAAGGGAGCTAGAGAGTAGGAGGTCTTGTGAGGAGCGGAGAGGACGGTTTGGGTGATATTTAGAGACAAGATTGGTGATGTAATTTGGGGCAGAGTTATAAATGGCTTTATATGTTATCGTTAATGGTTTGAATTTTATCCGATGGGCAATGGGAAGCCAGTGGAGGGATTGGCAGAGAGGGGTGGAGGACACTGAGTGGAGTCCAGTGGAGGGATTGGCAGAGGGATGGAGGACACTGAGTGGAGGCCAGTGGAGGGATTGGCAGAGAGGGATGGAGGACACTGAGTGGAGGCCAGTGGAGGGATTGGCAGAGAGGGATGGAGGACACTGAGTGGAGGCCAGTGGAGGGATTGGCAGAGAGGGATGGAGGACACTGAATGGAGGCCAGTGGAGGGATTGGCAGAGAGGGATGGAGGACACTGAGTGGAGGCCAGTGGAGGGATTGGCAGAGAGGGATGGAGGACACTGAGTGGAGGCCAGTGGAGGGATTGGCAGAGAGGGGTGGAGGACACTGAATGGAGGCCAGTGGAGGGATTGGCAGAGAGGGGTGGAGGACACTGAATGGAGGCCAGTGGAGGGATTGGCAAAGAGGGATGATTGGCAGAGAGGGATGGCAGATATGGAACGCTTAGTAAGGTGGATAAGTCTGGCAGTGGATGAACGCTGCACACCATATACAACAGCCGCTAGGGTGAAAGCACCCAGAGTCCAGCTCCGCCTAGGCCATGTGGCTGACGCATTGGGTGGGGTGAAACGCGTGGGAGGACTGGCTTGGATGGAGCAAGGCTGAGGCTGCTATCACCCTAGCGGCTGTCGGATATGGTGTGCAGCATTCAGGACTTTCTCTTCGTTATATTCAGAGGTTTGGGACAAACATAGATTTTTATTCAGACAAATATACTGTAGATGCATTCCATTCAAAAAAAATATGCAACATGTTCTACTTCTGCTGACTTCACTGGAACGCACTGCACTGGTGTGAATTAGGGCCATTGGAATCCATGTTACCCCCGGTATGCGGCCATGCACGGGCACGAGGGCCCATTCATTTGAATGGACTCCCGTGCCTGTGACATGCAGGGAAAGAAGTCCCTGTACTTCTTTGGAAAATGCAGCCCTCACAGGAACCTCGGTTCCCAGTACGAATGTGTTTTCCAGTGCAGGCGGCATTCCATTAGAACTAAAGGCACCCGCCCGCGGGTCCGCAATTCTCTGTACGGGTGGTGTGGCTGCATGGATTTTCATGCAGATCCACAGCAGCACCACCCGCACAGATGGGAACCGGGGGTTAAACACTGTCCATGCATTTTGATGCATCATTAAAATGCACTGGACTGCATCTGGTGTGAATCAGCCCTTAGGCTAGGTTCATACCTCTGCATGTTGAGACCGATGTGTTTTTCCGACATTTTTTAGGTGTATTTTTATGTTTTTGAACACACAGTGGGAGGAGGGGGGGTTGCCAGTAGGAAAGTGTTGGCTTTGATTGTCCCTTTGGTGCGACTTTGGATGGGTGCGACTTGCATACAACTTTGGATGGGTGCGACTTGGAGGCAACTTTGGATGGGTGCGACTTGGAGGCAACTTTGGATGGGTGCGACTTGGAGGCAACTTTGGATGGGTGCGACTTGGATGCGACTTTGGATGGATGCGACTCTGGATGGATGCGACTTGGATGCAACTTTGGATGGGTGCGACTTGGATGCAACTTTGGATGGGTGCAACTTGGATGCAATTTTGGATAGGTGCGACTTGGGTGCAATTTTGGATAGGTGCGACTTGGGTGCAATTTTGGATGGGTGCAACTTGGATGCAATTTTGGATGGGTGCGACTTGGATACAACTTTGGATGGGTGCGACTTCGATGTAACTTTGATGCTACTTGAGTGCCAGAGAGTGTAAAGTTGCACCAAAGTCGCACTACATGAACAGAACTGTTATAGATTCCTAATAGCAAACAAAAAAAAAAGTTGAATCAATGTCACACACATCCAAAGTTGCATCAAAGCTGAACCCATCCAAAATCACATCAAAGTGGCATCAGAAGAAAAAAAATGGCATCAATATGGCATAAAAAAATGGCATCAATACTTTCATACTGGCAGAAAAAAAAAGAAACATAAAACACATCAGAAAACACACTACATGCTTTTCTGCTGCATATCTACTGAAGTCTATTGAAGCACAAACGCACTGTGTTGCATTTTAAAAAGTCCCTGACCCTTTCCAAAAATGCAGCGGCTGAAAAACGCACAGATATGAACATGTCCTATAGGTAACCATAGTAAATGGACTGTAATGCGTTTCTGCAAAATGCACTAAGGCTCGGTCCACATATATGCGCTTCTGCGGGCTGCGTTTTCTCAGGCATTTGAATGGAGTGCCGTGTCTGTGTTTTCCCACAGATAAAGGTGCATGCACCTTTTTCAAAACGTAGCCCGCAGGGAAATCGCATGGTCATTTTGACTATGTGATATACCTGCGGTTCTGGCACCCGCAAATGAGTTGCGTTTTTACATGCGTGGAGGTCTCATTCAGAATAAATGGCAACCCTGCTCATTTCTTCATGGCACCGTGTTTTCACTGTGGGTGGTTGCGGGTGCAAGGATTCCCTCACCCTCAGCCATAGGTGTGAACCAAGCCTAAAAAACGCATAGGCGTGAACCAGGCTTTTGGCAGGCCATACATGGGTCGAAAATCAGCCGATTTTTCGGCCGAAAAAAAATCGGCCGATTTTCACACAGTTAATGGGCTAATTGGTCGGCTGTTTTTCAGGATTTTGGCACATTTTTTTTATCGGTAAAGTTGGAAAAAAAGTGTCCGATTTTGCCAATCAGACGATTTTCGCGGCAATGATGGGCAAATCGGCCGATCTTTTTACCGATAAAAAATCTGCGCATGAGAGAAGAAGAAGAAGTAGAAGAATTCCAGTCCGCTATTATATTTGACATTAAAAAGTATTGCGGTTGCAACAATGTATCCATTTGTATCCAAATAAAAACATCTGTATCCGAAATGGATACAAATAGATACATTGTTGCAACCGCAAGACTTTTTCATGTCAAATATAATAGTGGAGGTCTCTGCAGCGACAGAAGTAATTAAATGCCGGCCGTAGACGGGATGAAAATCGGCCGATTTTTTTTTTTACCATTGATGGTCAACATCGGCCTATTGAACGACTGATTTTTCGTTTTTTTTTTTTTTTTTTTTAAATGCCGTTTTCAACCCATCTATGGCCTGCATTACTGTTGACTGACTCACTACCTCTGCTGGAAGTCTATTCCAAGCATCAACTACTCTTTCAGCAAACTAATACTTTCTAAGATTAGTTTGGACTTTTCTCCTGCTAGTTTGAGGTCACGTCCCCGTGTTCTTCATCCTGGCTTCCCCACCATATCCAGGTCTGACCAGGAGAAGACAATCTCATGCCATCTCTACGTCGGTCCAACTCTGATTTCAGCATGTAACAATTCTGGCAATACTAAATATCCAACATTTTTTAATGATCTGGATTGGGCACTAATGTCATGTGTATTGGGTGACTGGTGTTTGATGTTTGGCGCAGCATTTATCCAAAACCCAAAATCCTAATGCTGATTAGCTGAACCTCAAGCTGGTGCCAAGGCAGAAGTGCTAACCACTAAGCCACTGTGCCACCCGCTATACAAGTACCTATAATAAATTAAGTGTTTTTTTTTTTACTGAAATGATGAGTTTCATAAACCGTTGTGCTGATATCGCGTGACATACAAAAATAGGAACTACCACTATTTTATTCTCCGGGATCACTTTTAGAAAATATATCATGTTTGGGCGTTTTAACTAATCTTCAGGCCTAAAATGCACAAACAGCTCTGGTGGCCAAAGAGTTAAAATACATTTAATAAATGTATTAATACATAGCTGGGCAAAATGCCCTTGAGCCCGGATTCACATATGTGCGGTGCGGTATATCCTATGTGATTCGCATTCCTCTGCAAATCACATGCGATTTGTGTGCATTGCGATCGGAGCCATACATTTTGTATGGCTCAAATTGCACCGCACCCGCACCAAATATGTGCAGGACCCTTTTTTGGGTCCGCACTAGAATCATATGGCATGGGTATTCACACCTATGCGATCCGATTCTGGACATCGAACTGCATTTCGCGGACCAATTTTGGGGTGTTGTTAACTTAACATTCACACCCGCAGCGGTTCACATGAACGGGGTGCGATTCTGATGCGGTGCGGAATTTGCACTGGAAACGCTGCCAATTCCGCACCGCATCAGTGTGAACCCGGGCTTAATCTTTTTCCCCCATTTTTCTGAACCTAACCCCTAAAATGAATTATAACTTTTGTTGACTAAAAATGAATAGTTACAATAGTGGCGCCAATGTTGGTTCTGCAGGGAAAAGTCCTTGTGCCAAAGCAAACTGTGCCCATAATATGAATCTGCCAGAAATATTGGCAGGGACATATGTACCAAGAACAGAGGGCCGAATGCGTGCCTGACATGCCATAGCAGGAGCCGGGTACTACCGGCCAGGAGAATAATATAACAGAGCTGGTATAAATTTTCCAGTCCAGTGGCCCTTCCAGGGCTCCGGCCCTTCTCAGCGGCTCCCATGGAAGCGGCTCGGATAAGGTATTCACGCAGCAGCTGTTCCTGAATAGATGATAAGCCAGGCAGACACCCTCCCCCAGCTTCCAATTCACCACCCTGGAAGAATGGGAACAAAGGAATCCCAGGCTTCCTTCTCAATTCTACCCTGATGGAGCATCTTTTTTTAATGACGACTGCCACTGCCTGAGCACATAAAAGGCTGCAAACCCATGGCAAGCATTAAAGGGCCACTAAACATTAACTACCGGCTGACGTGTTAAAAAAAGTTTTCAGATAAACATGACCAAGCACAAACTCACCAGAGCTGAGCTGGATAATTATATGAAAAAAAAAAATAAAAATGTAGGGTCGATTTGCGTCTATGCATTGCAGCAGTGTTGCATTCGCTGACGCACTGCAGTGCCCTTCGGTTTAACTAGCACCCAACGCACGTGTTGCAACCAAAGGGCCTCGCTGCAAAAAAAAATGTTGTGGCATGGCTGACAGTTTTTGTGCATTGGAAGCTGTTTGATTTCAATGGCCTGCCTTAATGCAGGACATAACGCGCATTAATGGACCGCACAAAGGCCAAAGGGCCCTTGATCTGGAAAAGTTTTTGTTAAAGCAAGTGAAGTCTGCCTCCAAAGTGGTTCCGCGCCTTCTCGTACGCCACCATCATGGCGCATGTGCAGTGTGTCCACAGGCTCTGCCTGGTCTTTGGCTCCTGACAGATTCAACATCTGCGCACACACAGGCAATTCACCATGCATGTGCAAATACAGGGAATTTTTCAGACGTCCCGGTCACAGTCTTTGCGCATGCGCTGATAGCCTGGCACGTGCGCAGATGTGCCACAGGGCTCTCGGTATGCGTATTAATTGTAAATGGCACCCCAATGCATTGTTCATTAGAGTGTAATGAATATACTGTGCCTTGTGTTGCACTTCATTGTTGAAAATGGAGAAGAAATATTAAAGGTGCACTGCAGAATCATGTAAGCCTTTTTAGTAGGCCGCATTTGAACAAGGAGAGACAAAAGCCCGTAATAGAGCACAGACATGCTGCATATCATGTAAGAGGTTTTAGTAGGCCGCATTTTGGTGTGCCTGGCTGGTTCAGAGGTGTCCTCCAGTAGCCAGCTGTTCTTACCGCTGCAGGTCGCCAGCTCTGCCATCTTGGATACGGAGCTGACTGTGGCTTCCTGAGGAACCAAAGACAGCTGCCCATTGTGCATGCTT